AAGCATAAGCACTTGATCTACAGAAGGACTTTAGAACAGCACTGTTTTCAATTTCGTGAGGTCGACAGTCTTTTGCGGGTTTGTGGTGAAGATGAAGACTGTGAAGAAGAATCAGAAGATGGTTACGTTGATGATGCAGCTGATGGTGTTGACGATAAATATGAGGATGAACTCTGTAAGCAGATTTCGAAAACAGTGATGGGTAGTCATATCATATGTAGTCATGCTGTTCGAGTGCAATCGCCGGTTTCAAGTTTGCTTCATGTCTGCCACCACTTGCCAGGCGACCTTGGTGCGAAGTGCCGGCAAGAACTTGGACGAAGATGCACCAGACCGACGCTTAGAGTGGTAAGCCTGGTAAGCAAGCATCTGAAGTGTTTTGTTCGCACTCGCAGCTCCGCAGTGCGCAGGTTGCAGCTGCAAACAGGATATGGGATGGTTCGCAGATGCCGGATCCGACGGAGGTTCAGGGCCGGGTCCCTAGATGCCGGCCAGAGCAGTTTCTGCCCCACCCCCTCACGAGACTTTTCGAGGCTTGCGAGCTGCAGAGCGGTACAGCAACAAGTTGAACGGCCTGGATCCGAGCCAGGCCCGGGGCCAAGGCCTCCGAGGAGAGCAGCGAGCGGCCGCGCGTGCGCGCGTCCCACTCCGTGCACGCGCGCTGGGGACGCTTTTTGAGGTCTACCAAGTGCCCCAGGAAGATGAGCTGGAAGCCTCTCTGGCGCATTTGCTGTGATGCAATGAATGCATGGCACCTACTGAGTAATTTTGGCTTTGCCAGGAGAGCCAGGAGACGAGCGAAGAAGAGGAGCCATTTGCGGACGCCATGGGGATGCCTGAAAAGTTTCAATGCCCCAATGAGTGTGGGGAGCTTGCGACTAAGCAAGGTTACTGTGAGAGGCGGAGGGAGCAGCCTGGCAGGATGCTTCTTGGCTGGATTTCCGCTCCTTTGCTCGGCAGACGCTTTGCGAGGCTCGGTGCAAAACCAGCACAAGAGCTCGATCAAGCGAAAGTCTGTTCGCGAGGCTGCCAAGCAAGCCCTACGCACTCGGTGTATGGTTGCTGCGAAACGAGCCTTTGAGGCTTCTAAGCCGCAGAGAGGTCAGTGTTCCTTTCCGAACCTTCAGCTCGTTGCGACTGGTGCAGACAGGTTCTGGCTTGCCAGGCCTACGGCCTGTCTGTTCCAATGGCAACCTTTGAGCTGCCAGCTTACTCCTCCCTTGTAGGGAGCGGGGAGGACATCGCGGAAACCACGTGCGAGTGTACGCTCACGAATCCCGAGGTTTCTATGCTGGCTGCAGAGTACGGAAGCCGGGATCCCAGGCCCTGTTTCATGGCCCCTCCCTGAAGAGCGCAAGCGCTGTTCAGCACACGATGTGCGATCAAGCAGCTCGGTGCATTTTCATTTTTCGATCAAAGGTTTGCATGCGAGAGGAGATGGTCTTCAAGGCTCTTTCCCACCTTGTCCGTGCGCAAGGGTCCGAAGGGCCTAACAGCCGGTGCTGAAGAGGAGAAGCTTCCAGAGGATCACGACGAGCGTGTGCAGCTCTACTTGCTATGGCCTCAGCCATCGCTCAAGGGTCCCTAGCTCGGCCCTGGGCCTTTGCTGAGCTCTGCAGAGCCGAGGCTGAGAAACCTGGAAAGCCGATGGCCGTTCCCGGAGGAGCTGGGAACCTACAAGGCCCGTGGCCAAGCGCTGAGATCGGACACAGGATACGCCGCGGCAAGTCACAGCGAGGCTATTCGACAGCGGCTGGAGGCAGAGTCGCCCTTCTTCCAGAGACTGCAGTTGGAGCCACTGCTGCAGCTACACAATGTTTGGGCAGAATTGAAGTTTTGAGAAGCGAATTTCCAAGAGGATGAGTTGCAGTTGGCCTCGAGGACAAGCTGCCCTCGATCGAAGAGATCGTGCTCTCACACTTGCCGGCTTTGACTCTGGTAGTCCTTCGCTCGGGCGCGTGGCGAGGAGCATGTTGAACAGGTTGACTGTGCCGGGATGGTGAGGTCACCCTGCAGTTCCGCTCCAACTACATCTATGCAGGGGCTCCGCGGCCTGTGCTTGAGGTTAGCTTTGACAGGTCTTCTTGCATGACATACAAACCGTTACAAAACCCTGGCCCTACTGAGTAGATTTGGACTGTTCTTCGAATTTAAGACTTGCGGCTTCACGCATCATCAGCATTTAAAGTTTACGGAAGCCTCTGTTTATGTCTCCAGGTACAAAACTTTGAGTTGCATGTTCAGACTGGAGCCCCTCAATAGATGACGCTTTTAAGAATCTGTAGCTGCACACTTGAGGCGCGCACCCCCACTCCTCAAAGCCCTCTGAATTTAGGGATTTGAGAAGTTGAAAGATTCTTCCGACCGGAGCCCTGAGGCGGTTCTGAGCCCGGACGCGGGGGACCGGACGGAGCGTGCCAAGCAGCTGCAGCCGATGGTCGCAAGGCACATGGTACACCCTGCAGAGGCGGGAGCAGGGAGCAGGGCCGGGCAGGGTCATAAGGCGGAATTTGGAGATTTTCAAACTTCGAGTTTCGAGGTGAGATGTGTGCCGGAGACAAATTCTCAGATTGCACTCAGGTGCAGACCTCCATCAATCGGATCTCGTCCACAAACAGTCTGGAACTCAAGGAGATCCGAGAATCTCGAGTCATGGCTCTTCTCAGCGTCTCAGAGCGGTGCAAAAGGTCAGATTGAGAAGCAGCTCTTGTCATCACCAGAGGTGGACCCCCAGCCTGCAACTGAGCATTTCCTGGCCGGGTCAGTTTTCAGTCAGAAGCTCCTTTAGCCGCAGGTTGCGGGAAAACATCCGGATCATCATGGAGGAGCTCGATGAGCATTTGATGGAACCACTCTCTCGTCGTTTGGAGGCCTTGTCGCCTTGTCCCTTGCAGGCTAGAGTGCTAGAAGAACTTGGGGGCTTCCAGAACTTAAGGCAAAATGCAAGTTGCCAGGGGCACTTCTGGCAATGTGGCCTTCATGCGAGCGACTCAGGATCCGCGGTAGGCGTGGTCCTTGTGGTGAGGGATGGGTCGTCCACTGCAGCTCGTGGTGAAAAAATGGATCTGTGGCAGCAGCAGTTTTGGAACTGCACCAGTATGTCGCGCCTGAACAGTTGGCGAGGGGCTGGAAATCATCAGGTTTTACAACGGCTCCATCAAATAAAGCCTCGCGAAAGCAAGCATGAAAGTGTACACGGATACACGGAGTTGGGGACTCACAAGTTGCACAAGTCACAACAGAAAAGACATGTACAGACACAGCGGTTTTCCGAAAGGGTCGAGCCGCCAGGAGAATGGAGAAGTACCGCGAACACTATGGTTGGCGGTAGGGCTGCTCCAGACTAGAGAGTTAGAGACTTACCATCAGTCTTCTTGGTTTGCTATCGCTGGCTCTTAACCATTCCTTTCCCAGTACTTCAACTTGTCACCGACTTCCGATGACAATGTTTACCATCGCTAGCTTGCTATCACTTCTGTTGTTGCCTATGACATGTACTAGCACTTCGGCTGCGCTTGCTGCTATTTTTCCCTGTCTGCCCAGTGCTGCCATGATTATGAGATGAATCCAGCCTGTCGCCGTCGTTGCTTGTTTTTCTGTCAGATCTGGTCCTGCTATCGATATGCTTAAGATTGTTGCCGGCGTTGCCATCACCACGCTTGCTATTGCTGTTTCGTCCACCGATGCCACTGTCATGATGACTGTCACGGTTAGTTTTGGTACCGTCGTTCCCGGGACGGTGATTGGACTGCTACCATTGCAACCATGGTCAATGGTTGGTATTGAATCATTGCTGCTAGTTTGCGCTTCGTGCTGTTGTTGGCCTATAGCTAGTGCTGGCAGTTCTATCTGCTATGATTACTGTCGCGACGACGGACATGGGTTGTCGCGATGCTTTTAAGCTAGCCGATGGAGTCAGTGCTAGCATGTTTGTGGCGATGATGCCTCTTGCATTGTTGCACATAGACGATGGAGTTAGTGGTAGTCGTAATTCAAGTGAAGGTAATACACGGCTTTCAGACCACGACTGAGCAACATGTCTGGTATTGTAGGCAGATTTTTGGAGATCATCGCTATTCTGACCCCTTTTCTTCCTGCGCTTTTGTATTCACATTGCTATCCGGTCACTTCTGTTCATCTATGCCCCATTGTTTTGCTCTTCCGGCGGGCTCAGCCCATTCCGCCAAAATCCGATCCGAGGCCGAGCTGCCTGGCGCACCGAACCCACGACAGCTCCTGCTTTTGCCTGATGCCTCCTTGGCGAACTTGCCGCCGGGGGGCCCAAGAGGGTCTTGAAATTTAGAGCAACCTCGTTTGGGAGATGTGCCAATGGCCAAGCCGAGGCTGGAGACCATGCCATCTTTGCTACGCCTTTTCGGTGATCGTGGTGCAGAATGCATTCTTAGGCAAGTGGTACTGGAGAGGTATATGAGCACCCAGGGTAGGTGCACATTTGCAATACTTGCAAAACGCTGCGCAAGCCATGCATTTTGGAGCTCCAAAGAGCTTGGCTTGTCATGCCCAACCTTTCACGTGTGCCTGTCAGGGATCATTCTCTGCACATCATGGCCAAGAGAGTGCGGGATTCTGCAGATGTGGCTGCAGACAGTGCGCCACTGAAGGCCGGGTCAGCGTCTGCAAATGCAAGACACACGGCTTTCGAAACACCGGGTGCAGCTCTGATCTGCAGGTCGCTCTGCAAACGCTTCCAAGAACCTCCTTGCTCGACAAGGCCCGGTGCCCACATGCGGCAGCCGAATGTGGCTGTCCGAAAGCAGTGTTCTGGCATAGGCCTGAGCTCCACATTCCTCTTCATTCTTGCACGAGAAGGCGCGCTGACAGCATGGTAGCAGCACATTCCCGAGTGCACGGTTGTTGCATGAAATGCAGTGGCCGGCAGCTTGGCTCAAGCTCAAGGTAGCTCGGACCGTTTAACTCGCGGGAATGCCATGTGCTTCTTCCGGCTGTTGCTTGTCGCTGGGGCCACGAAGGTAGCGGCGATGGTCGCACCCATGTGCCTTAGAGCTCAAGCCTATGGTGATCGTGGGAAGCCGTCTAGCCGCGACCCCGGTCACACCCCCACACACGAGCACTTGATGCCGCAGAACACTTTTTGGTACTGCTGTTCAGTGCGCTCTAAAGCAACAACATTTCACGCCGAATGCTTGTAGATCAAGAGTTCATCACGTGGCCGAGGCACGAGCGTCGACGTGGAGACTTGCCAGTCGTCAAGGACTTAGCAGGGGCTCAAAGCAGAAGGCATCCACCACGACCCTGTACTTAGATCCTGCGCGGCTTCGAACAACTGCAGATATTTCACTTACGATGCCAGCACACAAGGCAAGTCATGTCAGTTTCGCGCACTGCTTTCAGTTATGCTTTGAGCGCATCTGTGTCGCCCGATAGCTCAAACATTGTGTCAGACTGGGTCAGGACGTCAGCAGTCGCCACAGCATGTTGGCTTCACGACATATGTTGCGAGAAAGCAACGCATGTGGTTGTTCGTTCCGTGTCGTCATCGTGTTGTTGTAGTGAATCTTATTGCTCTTGTTCTTGTTGTTATTGTGGTTATCTATGTTCTTGCTTTATTGTTGTTGTCATTATGCTTGTTTGTTTGTTTGTTTGTTTGTTTGTTTGTTTGCTGGCTTGTTTGTTTGTTCGTCTGATTGTTTTTTGTTGGTAGCCTGGAGTGTCTGGCGTACATGTCGCGACAAACAGAGCTGCTTGGCACCCTCTGCAGATTGCTGGCTTTTGAACATTGGGAGCTTCCTACAGCCGCAGGCCCGCGCTTGAGTCAGAGAGAGTGACCACTGCCATGCCGCCTTGGGCGCCCTGGCTAGGAAAATGCTGTCTCCGGAGCCGTGGATTGTCAGCTTCAGCAGGACAGTCCTTTTTTGCGCTGTCCAAGCATGCATTCTTGTTTTTCCTGCAGGAGGATGAGGACCGCAGGAGCCAACATGTCCTCGCTGGCCTGAAGGCAGCAGCCCAGTTTGTCCGCGATCGGACGGAGGACGAAAGAATACGAAAGGCTGCTGAGCACGTCAAATGGTCCGTGAACAACGGTTTCCTCGAAGAGGAAGTTTATCAGAACGTGAGGCTCGTCCTGGAAGAGGAGGCAAAACTTGTTTCCTCACCGGATTCGCTTGCTGAAGCTGTCGGACAAGGGGCGGCGTTGACGGCGGATGATGTCGACTGGCTCACGAGGCGAATGAAAGGTGGGGAGGTGTTTTCCGATTTCGAAGACGCAGAGCAAGGTGCAGCATACGGTCCAAATGGTCAACCTTACTATGCTGCATCCCCCAGCCCTTGCGCGGCAGACAAGGTTGGCTGTGATGCAGGAGACTTCAGTCCTTCCAACAACAGTCAAGTTATGTCAACTTCCACTTGTGCTTGGGCAGAAAGCCTTGCTTCGGCACCCTATTTCTGCCCGTTATGTAGCTTACCTTCGCCTTGAAAAGGATCAGACAGCAGCTTTGGGACGGGTACACCTTGGACTGGTGCAAAGGCTTGGAGCTGAGGGCATGGCTTGGAGTCACGAACAGGAAGCAACGATTTGGTGTGAGCTGCAGGTGAAGTTCTGCTTTGACAACGAGCTTGCGCCAAGCAGCAGAGAAGCCCTGCAATGCGCCATGGCAACCTGTCTTCAATTCAGCATTCTCCCTAAGGGTACAGGTATAGGTCAAGGTTTGCGTGGCTTACATGTCGAGATCATCCGCCAACATGAAGCTCACTGGTCTCTTAGTCTCCAGGACAAGATCTCGACGTTCGTGCCTGGCATCGTGTTCGTGAACGTGCAGTACACTGGGGTCGATGCATGCGGTGCGTTGCCGGCCGTTTACATGCAGTCAAACGGCCGCCGGAGTGGCAGCGGCTGTTGGGCAGACATTGGCATGTCGACTTCCATGTTTGGCGGGAATCAAAAGCTGAACTTGCAAGCTCCGGGCTGCGACAATTGCGGCACAGCAACCCATGAGATCCTGCATGCTCTGGGCATGGCACACGAGCAGCAAAGACCTGATCGGGACGACTTTGTCAGCATTATCTGGAACAATATCAAACCCGGAATGGATACTCAGTTTGCCATTCGCTCGCAAGCAGATACCCAGCGGCCGTATGACATCATGTCCATCATGCACTACGCTGCCCGATCCTTCTCGAGCAACGGTCGGGACACCCTCGTCGTGAAGCCCAAAGGCTACGAGCTCTACACATCAGACCCAGCCAGGTTTCCAAATTATCGCATTGGGCAGCGCGTGGGAATGAGTACTCAAGATGTGTCTCAGCTCGCGGATCTGTACGGGTGCAGCCGGAGCAGCCAGTATCAGACCTGCGACATTGCGAGGGGTTATCTCGTGGCTTTGTCTGCATACGTGGTCTGAACTGAAGGATTCGTCTAGTGAGATCTCAAGCACGGTCATTGTCGTTGTGACTGATGCAAAGCTCAGGCCACGAGGTTGGACCAGGAAATTGATCCAGGCCACGCAGCTGCATTTTTGAGGGGTGTGGAGTGCGCTGAGACGCCAGGGCATGGTTCGGAGCACAGGAAGGGCGTGCACGTCTCTGCTTGCCGAAAGACAGGAAAATAGCCTGCTGTCTCGGTCTAGATCGACTTGTCTCCTACAATCGGCTTTGCACACACAGGGATCCGAAGACGTTATGCTGGTACTTCAATGACAGACTCCTCTTGACCGCATAAGACCCCTGCTGTCGCCAGTAGAATCTTGCCGCGTGTCGAGTCTGTCTGTTTCCATTACCCGTCGTGTTTCCAAAGGCAGAGCTGGGAGCCTGGAACATATTTATACTTTATACGCTGTCATACGCCTAACTTCTGCATTGTGCGACGTGGTCTTTTCGACAAGGGCAAGCACACGCAGACATGCGGGTTATGGTTGTTCGTCAGCGTGAGCGCCATCTCGCCGAAGACGTTTAAAGGCAAGCTGTGGACAAGCTGAGGCTCAATCGCTCTGATCGGTGTGCTGGTTATTGCCGCTATCTGCTGTTGTGGCCTATGTGTATGCTTCGCTCGTGGGAGCGAAAGCAGCAGGACGTACAAGGAAGGCAAAGAGGGACACAGTAGCCGAGGTGTCATTGCAATGCAAGAAGGTCCAGCGCCACCAAGCGCCACGGATCCCGAAGAGCCAATGCTTCAAAAACAGCTGCCTCCGCAGCCGGGGCAAGAAGAGCAGCCTTGTGTACCGTGCTGCACTCTATTATGACGAGTTTCTGCTGGCTTCAATTGCCCAAAGTGGCACAAAGCATCGTTGAAGCTACTTGGCGGAATAACCAGGGTGGGTGGGATTCTTGTCACACGCATCGTTCCGGGGTCAAGTTGAAGTGTTGCCTTTCAGCAATAGGAATCATGGTATGTATGGAATATCTTGCGCAACATCGTTCGAGTATTCAGCCTGCGAACAAGCAAGATGGCAATCATAACATCCAGCGGTATCCAACTGGCACCAACGATCCTGCAAGTGGCATTTCCAACTTGGCATGCGATACTGAAGTCTTGGTAGCTCGCTTGCAAAACCTGTTCCCCTGCTGAATGCGCAGGTGAAATAACACAGACTTTTGCAGATATGGCAGACCATCGGCAGTACGTGACTGTGTGCATGTTCGGAACGCAAGCCATCTGCAATGTGAAGCGGTTGCAACCGACATGCATGTCACATCTGCATGTAGCCCACTGAGGTTGGCTTCTGCAGGCGAACTTCGGTGTTGTCCATGCAAACTGACACGGTGATCGTACAAACGATCGATGCTGTGTGAGCTAACGTGCTATGACGTGCAGGTGAAAGACAGACGGGCTCAGAAGAACCGAGCAATTTGTATATTATGGAACTCTGTGCCAGTTGTATGATTGGTGCCACTTAAATGAGCGTGCCCTGTCGGTCAATGCAAAACATTTTTAAGCACACTGCTCTGGCAGTTGGCAATGGAAATACCGGCATTGCACGAGCTATGACAAGTCTCCGTTTCACTTGAGGAGCAATCGTGAAAGTTCATTATGGCTGTGAGTAAGCTCCCCTTCTTTGCCATCATTGCGCCTTCGACATGTTGTTGTTGGAGCTTCGCCCAGGGCCCGGACGCTGCTAGCATGCTTCCGGCTTCCAGACGATGAGGCGGCTGCGAAGATCTTTCAGACTCAAACACTGGGGGTGCTGGTGCAAACTCGAACACCATGCACAGCGTTAGCTTCAGAGTTTCCAACCCTGCCCCTTTCCATCCCTGTCCCAAGCACATGTGGGAGGTAGACCATGATCCATACGGCAAACATGGCAGCAATGAAAGTCATCATGCATGTCAACTTGCCTGCTCAGAACCAGGGCAGCATACCGTTCTCACCCATGTTTCACTTCTTTCGTTGGCGATCGAAGATTCTGCTGACGAAAACGCTACGCATGCTAGGTAGTGGTCGGATTGATGGAAGAATGGTCGAAGGGGCAAAGGGTGGTTTGGAATGAGGGATCAGAGACGGATCTGAGGAGACTGCGGGCTCACAAGCAAACGGTTTAGCATGAAGGATACGTTTTGGATCTCGTTATGATGTGGCTTGAGGGACCGTGCTCCTGATTCACGTGCGTCCCCGCCTTTCAGGCTTTAGCTTATTTAGGAATCACATCACCAGCTTTGAACTTTTGTCACATTACAGCTTTTTTTGGTGTGGAGCTTTGTGGGATCACTTCGGACGACAGTTCCATGGTCTGCAACTCTGTGCAAAGTCCCTACAAGAATCAACTGTCAATCTGGGGACTAGCTTGCCGCCGTGCTACATGTCTGTTTGCACGGAGACAGCTTGGCCAGTCTCCTGCCGCCGACTCAGCTCAATTGCGGCATCACATGCAGTGTTCCTCCATGTTCGATGCAAGGCACTGGGGATCTCGATGGCAGATCCGCCGTTGCCTCCAGCCGGTAGCCAAGCGAGCTTCCTTGCTGTTGCTTCTTGAGCGTCGCATGCAGCCTTAAACCGAGGCATTCCATGCGGACGGTCGCAGCTCGTTCCTTGCCACACATGATGCGTGAAGAGCCACGCAGCTTTCTGAAACAGCCCTCCCTTGCTGATCTGCTGCCAGTAGTCTCAGTAGTATCTGTATTGACTTGTGTCATGCCCCCTTATCCGACAGGCAAGATGACAGAAGACAGTTTGTTCTTTCCACATTTGCGGCTCGAAGTGCTCGAGCCTGTGGTCTGACCGTAGTAAGACTGATCAGACGAGGACAAACCACAATCACAGGCTCCAAGATGGCAGGAGCCTCAGATTGTGAGATGCGGGGGGAGTCCTTACTTGTGCGTCACTGCAGGGCCTGGAGCAGCCTGAGCTCCCCACCACCGGATGCAGGTGGGAAGTGACAGCTTGCATCTGCACGGCACCAGCGAGCAGCCTTCTCCTCCACAAGAGCGAATGCAAGATGATAGAAGTGACAGGTCGGCTTTCGTTAGTCCTGCTGTCTTTCTTCGGCCCCTCCTGCTGTCTCCGTCTCTATGTTTTTGTTGCTCCAGGTTTTTCCGAGGGCTCGGTGGCTTGGGAAGACATCCTGGACGCACAGCAGCGAGTGCCGACACAGGACGGGCAAGAAAATTTCGCAGAGGCAACCGCCTTGGGGGTGAACAGATGCTGATGAGCATGCTCTATGTTTCAGGGAAGCATCGAAGTGCAACGACGATCATCCTCTTCTCCACTTTGCATGTCCTTTATTCTGACTCAACAAGCGACGTAAGCCTCCCGGTAGTACAAACGATCTGTCGCAGGAGTCGATTCGAGTTGCTGCCCGCTTTCGGCCGTTGAGTGTGTTGGAGAGGTCGGCACAGACGCGGATTGCTCCCTGAGCCCACCAGCCACAAGCCCAAAGCCACGGAAGATGAATGCACCCTGCGATGCAGGGAGAGCGGCGAGGACGAGACGCTTTGTGTCAAGTTTGGTCGAGATGGCCAGTCGTGCACACTGCGAATGCAGAAGACACTGGTCTGATGGTCACTGTATCAGAATGCTCGCAGCAGGATAGCCATGGAACATGTTCGCCGCTGCCGCTATTGTCTTGTACCAGTTGAAATAGAAATCAGATAACCGAGAGGGTAAGCGTGGTTCACTGATGGTGGTGGCAGCGCAGCATGCGCAGCAGAACTAGGAACGGAATGTGTCACATGACGTCTGCCATCATGGCCCGACGAAGGGGAATGTGATGAATGTGATGGTGATCATGAGCAATCAGCATTCCAATATGCATTCTACATCGCTTGTGCTTCTAGTCAAGATTCTAGTCTGCGCATCTAGTATGCATGATTGTGCCTCCAAGGACGCATGGAATCTGCGACTTTCCGTTTGCGTACGACCACCTGTTCGAGCCAGAAGCATCGCAGTACGACGTCTACAGGGCCGTTGCGCAGCCGATCGTCGAGGGAGTCATACATGGTTCCTGCCTTGCAACACAGTCTCAATGCATGCAGTGCCAGAGCAATCTGAAGCCAGCTGGAGGTTACAACGGAGCAATCCTAGCCTACGGGCAGACGGGCAGCGGCAAGACACACACCATGCTTCCTGATGTTCCTAGTTTGTTTTTGAGCCAGCGATTGCAGTCCATGCAGCCATGCACGAGGTTTGGGCCCTTTGCCACTGAAGCCTTCGTGGATTCCTGCGTTTGCGCCCAGGGCGAGATATACCTATCTTGATACTGTAGCGCCACTTTGATTTGGTTTGCCCTTGTCTTCTGACAATCCGCTGAGGACTTTGACTCCCACAGCCTCGGCATTATCCCTCGCGCGCTGCAGGCTGGAAAACTTCGGTCAGGGCTCAAAGTGTGGTGGATTCATCGATGCAGGAATTGGTGGATTATGCCGAAAACACGGACGGCCTGGTGCAGCTGCGCGCTTCCTACGTCGAAGCCCGAGAGCCTCTCAATGTGTGCACGTGGTGCTATCTGCTGTCTCGCTCTGGTCCCGTGTGCGCCAGGTAGAAATCTACAATGAGAACGTTCTTGAGACTTATGCCGCAGATCAGAACCCCCTTGATTGCAATCCTTCAGTTGTGCGATTCCAAGCACGTAGATTTGATGCATCTGCCCAACGGTCTGGTTCGGAGGACCTGCTTTCACCGCTGGGCGGTGTCATCCCGGGTGACATGCCGTCTTCTGCAGTAATGCGTCGGAGAACCCAGCGATCACTTGCCTGAGTAGTTGCCCGACAAAGAGATCCGAGACGTCTGCAATCAGCATGCGCTAGGTGAGCAGGCCAAGGATTTGTTCCTGCCCACTGTCACTGAGACGCCTTTCAATTCTGTGCGAGAGGCACAGCCGTGGCACACCCTGACTAGATCGTTCTGCTTGACAGATCTCCTGACCCCAGGCTATGGAAGTCATGCGACTGGGGAATCGGAAGCGACACCAGGCACATCCACACCAAGCGATTGCATCGAAACTTGCCCAACCGCCTCATCTCAGATGTCAAGCCTGGTGGCAGGCCGAAACGAAGATGAACCGACACTCCTCGCGGAGCCATGCGGTTTTCATAGTCACCGTCGTGAATCGAGCCACTCCCCTGAATTGTGCATTCAGGCAATGGCAGAGCCTGCAAAAGCTCAGGTAGATCAATCACGGCAGAAGTTTGGCCAACTCTATCTGGCGACTCGGCAAGAAGCTCTTCGGAGCCTTAGGCCAGCGCAGTCTCTGTCAAGGTGGACCTTGCGGGCTCCGAGCGCGTCATCAAGACCGGCGTGGCAGGGACGCATTTGGTGGAGGCTCTCGCAGCCAAAAGCAGCGCGTGCTGCAGGATGCTGCAAAGTAGTTTCTTTTCGTAGACAGCTGACAGACAGGGCACTCAGACAGGGGACCAGCTTGCCTTGAAGATCCCCCTGCAAGTTGAAGCTTGTGCAGGCTAAGAACATCAACAAGAGCCTCCTGGCGCTGGGTCAGGTGATTTTTGCTTTGGCTCACAAGCAAAAACATGTTCCGCCAGGGCCTCTGAAAGACTTCGCTGCTGCATGCGGCTGTTGAGCCACTGCACCTACATGTAATGTATACGGATGCCATATGCTCGGACGACTCACGACTTATTGTTGGACAACTGACATCACTCCATGCTGGATGCTGCAGATGCTGCAGATTTGCAGGTATCGAGACTCCAAGCTCACGCAGCTGTTGCGGAACTGCCTGGGAGGAAATGCTCGGACAGCAGAGTCTCGGCTTGAAAGGGATGGAGGCCCTGGGGCCTTTCGGCGGAAGTGTCTCGGGTTTTGTGGCAGGTGTTGATCACCGTCTCTCCTCACAGAGACAATGCCGGCGAGTCGCTCAGCTCGCTTCGCTTCGGCGCGCGTGCCTCTCTGGTGGAGAATGCGGCGACTGAGAACGTGGCCGAAAACGCCTGGAGCCCCTGCGTGGAGCGACAGTCAAAAACTCTCGTGGAGGAGTTTGACCGAGGTTCATGAGCTCAAGCGCCTACTGGAGCACGCTCGCCAGGCCCCACCGCCCAGATGGCAGTGCTCTGGCGACGGAGTCTTGCATTTCGCTGCTAAGGACCTGGCAGAACTCCGAGCCTCGAATCGGCGTCTGCAGGCAGTAAGAATGCAAGATTGAGGGAGCCGCAGCTTTTTTGGCCAACTCGCACTGGCACAGGCCGAGCTTTCGGTCAGATCAGCGCCATCAGGCCAGGCCTGAATGAATGCTTGGTGTCCAGCTTTTTCAGCAGCTTGGCGTCCAATTTGAGTCCATGCCAGGCGGTCACGACGGTCAAACTGTGCCGCCACAAAAATGCCTCGCGGTATGGGAACTCCTTCCGTCGCTGGTTTGTCCCCTCACCCGTGGCATCATGAGGCAGGACATGGGGGAGCATGCTTTTACGGGAGAGAGTCGGAGACGGGCAGGGAACCCGTCTTGGCCTCCGATGGGTGGAGCTACGAGCGCCGCGCCTTGGAGAAGCACATCGCCAGAGCTGGAAGGATCATGCCGGTCTCACCTGTGTCGGCCTCGGACGGCATTCTCGACTTCATTCACGTTGGACCTTGTCGACATGACTTTTCGTACACACCTGCCCCAAATGAAGTTTTCGATAATAGAGCATGAGCTTGCCGCACTAGCACGCCTGCTTTCAAGCTGCGTGAGAACGTGACAAGGTAACAGGCCAGCGGCTTTCGACGCGGCTTTTCACACCGAACCTGCTTGCAACTGGGCAGCCTTGGACATTTGAGATTTGAGCAGTGCAAGTAGTGAAGGATGCTAACTACGGATGACGAACGGCTGAGAAAGCATCGCAGCTTGTGATTAGCCACTGCAGTCTGCAAATTCTCTTTCGTCTTGTCCGAAAGTATCCGCTTCACATATTGGCACGATGCCATCGTGTTTGAGCACACAGATCCATCAAAGGATTTTGCCATCAGCCCCGCATCCTCAAGTGACTTATAAGATTGACTCGAGGCCTTCATGCAGAAAATGGGTTTGGGATATTTGAGCTGTGTCATCAACACACACCAAGGTGAGGCAGCTCGTGCGTGCGGTGCCCGGTTCCAGGCGAGTTTCAGAGGCCTGCAGTTGCAGCTAGCAGGCTAACAGCTTCATTACTGAGCCCTGTAACGCTTCCCGGCTCCGTGCCCTTGAATGTGTTGGGGTGGGTTTCCAGGATTGAAAGTTTATCGAGCTCGCGCCAGAGTGCACAAGCAATGCGACAAGATTGACAGACTCAGTTTTCGAGCGCACCAGGGGACCTCCACATCAGAACACTCCAAGGAAGCCACTCAGGTCAGTATCTTCCAGACCTCGGGCCGCTGGAGGAGCCGCTGCCGGTGATCCAACTGCTCCACATTTGGCACGCACTTCGGCTTAGAGACCGAGGGCTGTTGTTTCTGAAAGTGCAATGATGCATCAGCCCTCAGCTTAGGTGCAGCTGATCCTCTCCTTCCTGGACTTCCGATCACTGGCGCGTTGCGAGGCCGCTTGGCCTTCTTTCCGGGCCATGGCGGAGGACAAGGCGGGAATCTTCCTTCTACGCCTGAACCTTTGGACCTGTTGGGTTCAATACCTCATAGTCATCATAGCAGGCAGCAGCAGCAACGCTCGCAGCTTATAAATAAAGACAGATGAGTAGTCGTTATGAGAGCAGCAGGAACAGTACTTAACGAAGATCATTCTGGAATCGGAGGCAGGTTCCTAAGGAAGGTGTTCGTTCGGTTGCAGAGTGGAAACTTCTCAACCCGACGAAGGTTTGGGGGCAGCTTCTTCAGCGTGACTACCCCGACTGCGATGTGGAGCTTCTCGCGGCGCGCAGTACCTATCGTGACTTTGACAGAGGTTTGCTGGGTTTACTACATTTGAGATGCTGCTTCGCTGTGGAAGCCGCGAGAAGTTGCTGCAGACATCGGACACTCAGGCGAGGAGGCCGTAAAGGCGGCCGCCCACAAGCCGGCTGCAGGAGCCCTCGAATTTCCGTGCTTAGCATCATGCCTGAAAAGCAGCTTTGCGGCCAGCTTAATGCAAGCAGAGGAGGCCCGAAGGACAAAGCAGATGGAGGCCGCGAGCTGCACACAAGCAGGAGAACATGTGCTCAAATTAACTTGGTAAACGACCCAACAAATGCAGCACTAGTGTGGAAATTCGATGACTAGCTAAACTGATTAATTTCGCACAGCAGATTAGCTAGCATGCGCACAAATCGAACCTAGAAGGCCACACGTGCATACGTATCTAACAAAATGTAGCATGTGCCTGTATGGATCCATCATCCATCCATCCATCCATCCGTCCATCTATCTATCGATCTATCTATCTTCGATCTATTTATCGCTCTATCTATCTATCTATCTATCTATCTACCTATCTACCTATCTACCTATCTATCTATCTATCTATCTATTTTTCTATCTATCTATCTATCTATCTATCTATCTATGTGTCTATCTATCTATCTATCTATCTATCTCTATCTATCTATCTATCTATCTAGCTAGCTATCTAGCTATCTAGCTATCTAGCTATCTAGCTATCTAGCTATCTAGCTATCCAGCTATCTAGCTATCTAGCTATCTAGCTATCTACCTATCTATCTATCTATCTATCTGTCTATCTATCTGTTTCTCTTTCTCTATTTATCTACCTATCTATCTACTTATCTACCTATCTACCTATCTATCTATCTATCTATTTATCTATCTATCTATCTGTCTATCTGTAATCTGTCTATCTGTCCATCTGTCTATCTATCTATCTGTCTATCTGTCCATCTGTCTATCTATCTGTCTATCTATTTGTCTATCTATCTATCTATCTATCTGTCTGTCTATCTATCTATCTATCTATCTATCTACTTATCCATCCATCTGGGTCAACAAACGCGTGAATACACGTATGTAAGTACAAGGGTATGATGAGTTTCGTGCCTAAACACATGCAGCCATGAGTCCGTCCGGGACTCCAGCCACCTCAGCCTTGACCTCAGCTCGTCGTGGGCTTCGCCTTTTCCAGCCGGGAAGCTCGCTTTGAGGCTGGGAGGGGCCCGTGCCTTGAGACGTGAGGGTTTAGCCACTTGTGAACATACTGTAAGTATTAACATAATAGTTAAGACAGAAAGAACGGTATATCGATAGACATATAGAGGCATAGATCAAGATAGACAGATCGACAGTCAGATAGACAGATAACCAAATAGCAAGACATATAGGATAGATACATAGATCGGTTGGTACGTGATAGATTTGCATATATATATATATAGGCTACATAGGTAGGCAGGCAGGTAGGTAGAGAGAGAATGAAGGATAGAGAGTGCTAGCTAAGTTGATCGTTTGCACAGATAGCTTGAGCAGTCCTGCAGAGAAAACTGGATGCAACCCGGGGGATTCTTTATGTTGTTACTGCTTGAGTTTGCTTTGCCACTTCTCTCCGAACCTGCAGTGTACCCCATGAATGGAGAGAAAGGTCGATAGAAAATAGATAGATGGGTAGACAGAGAGATAGATAGCTAGCTAGCTAGCTAGGTAGGTAGGTAGGCGACAGATAGACAGACAGCTGGCTAGAAATGGCCACGTCTTGCGAGTTGGGGGAAGTCCATTACGCCTCGTATGGCGTGCGGTCGGCGCTTTATCGGCAACGAGGTAAGGTTGTGACGACTGCTGTTGTTCTCCCAACCTGTCCCGTGCAGATGGCTGCTGCTGGGCTCGCCGACCATTCAGTTCTTCCTGAGCTGCTTTGCTACGCAAGGAGTGTACAGATTGCCCTTCTAACGGCATTCAGCAGCGTAGCCCATTTTGTGCACGGTTATAAGGCTCGACTAGCACAACAGCGAGTTGTGTCGCAGCCTGCATCCACTAGCCTGGCAAGGTTAATTAGCTTAGCCAGTCCAAGAGGCCTCTCAATTCAAGAAGGCCCGACTTAAGAACCTCCATCCCAATCTGGCACTATCTCGAGACAAGTGGCTCAGGATTGAGAGGTCACTGGGGCTGGCAGTGGAGATTCCCAAGGAAGCTCTGGTAGGTAGGATCAGTGCTGGACATTACCGCCTAGCTCTGGAAGAGCAATTGCTCCAACAGCCGAGCATTGCATGAACACATCCACTGCAGTGTTAGCGAACATGGCATATTGCCTCGAATGCCTGCAGGTTCACAAGCAGAGGATGCAATCAGCCTTCTGACCGGCTCCCTGTTTGTGCAGACCCCTGGGACCAGTCCTGTTGGCTTCAAGGACAAAAGGTGCAACGAAAGTCCCTTCCCATGGCCTTCAAGACCTGAAATCCGGAATGCCAGAGCTCACAAGTTGATATTCAATTGCAAAGAGATGCCCCGTTCAGCCGTAGCCGTCGCTTCGATCGCTTGGGGCGAGGGCACACACACACACACGCACACACACGTCCGACAGATCAGCTTTGTCGCTCTCACCCTCCTCTGATCAACTTGGGCAGTACTTGAGCTCAAGATAAATGCTCGCACGTCTCTGTTGTAGCTTCTCATGCTTTGCTCTGCGCAGCGTTTTGGCCGTCGAGCTTTGAACCGCTTCGTGGCCAAAATAGAGGGCTAGACAAAACCATGGTGGCCGGTAGCAAGCGGCAAGCACTTAGAAGGCACCGCAGCGCTCGTCATGCTCTGGAAATCTTGAAGTTTGCAGCGCTTGATCCTTAGTCGTCGACGTCTCTTGCGGCAATGGCGCAAGTCCGCGACAAGCTGGCAGAGCCATGGAAAGGCTCCTACTTGCATGAGGGCAAGTGGAAGGGTCATTGAACGTACGCTTGGCTGAGCAGGCGTGAACCTAGGGGGCTGGCTTCTCCTGGAGCCTGGTCCATCCTACCCACTCTTCACGCAGCATCCTTTGAAGGACAAGAGTGAGGTGCGCTCTTGCATGCTGTTGCTGAGATGTTGTCGCTGCAACAGTTGAGACTCTTTTGTCTCGTGTCCTCTACATGTACCGGGAAACACGAGGAGTACTTCTCACTGCATACGACAGTTCGCCTGGTCAGAGAGTTCCGCAACAGGCGCGGTGCGAGTGGGACATCATGAAGGCCCCGTGTTTTTGCAGCCAGTGTGGATTGTGTGATGTCAGAGGAGGTCGCACGTGTCAATTGCGTTGCAGGGCTTGATTGCCAAGATGGGCAAAACCGGAGCAGCCGAAGTGTTGCGATCTCACCGGGAGACTCACATGACTAAGGCGAAGCCCACGCCCCTGTTGCGTACGATATACAATTTGACTGGGCTTTGTTCCCGGGATCCGACCAGGCAGACTTTCAGCGGGTGCGAAGCTGTGGTCTCAACGCTGTGCGCCTGCCATTCGGTTACTGGGTGGTCACGGAACCCAGGCGAGGGTGTGGAGCTAACCCTCAAAGAGCCTCTTTTCGCGAGTGCAACGCCAGGCCCAGGGAGCCTTATGTCGGTCCGGCGCTGGAGTACATCGACCGGGCAGTCTCGTGGGCCGAGGAGCAGCAGGCTTCAAGCAACTTTGTGTCGTCAAATGTCTGATCAGGAGTTTGATCTCCAGATCGTGCTTGATTTGCACGGATGTCCTGGCGGTGAGAGTCCGGAGGCAGGGAAGTCGCGAGTGTCGGGCATCTTCACAGCTCTTATTCACTCAGGCTCCCTGCGGCCGCCGCCAGCGCCCGGAGAGTCGGTGGAACTGGAAGCAATGGGATTTCCAGGCCCAGTCAATTACAGGTCCACAGTACAGTAAACAATAGCCTTTAATCTGTGTGCCTGCAGGCCTCACTCAAGGTGCTTCAGGCAGGGGATCTTCGCCAGAATATGTGCGCGGTGCTCATGGAGATTTGCTTCCTCGCATGCAGATCCTGGCAAAGCGTTATGCCCAGCGCTCTTGCGTCACGGGCATCGCGGTTTGCAACGAACCATCGGGGGAAGTTCCAGCCAAAGCCCTTATCTCGTTTCTTGGACTTGCAGCTTCAAGGTTTCAGCCTTTTCGGCGAGGGGAGCCCTTTCTGATCCCGGAAGGTATTACTCGAAGGCTGTGGACGTCATACGCAAGGCCGGGTCTGACTCCTGGCCGGCACCGCACTGAAATTCCCAAGATGCCGCTGGTCATTCAGGCAGGAATGGACGCACAGAGGGTTGCTGTGGTGCTGCCTGTGTTCCAGCGCCCAGAAGGCCTCGGACTCTCATGCGTGTCTTGATCGCGAACGCGATTGTTGGTTGGGGATGAGTTGACCAGTGGGTTTTACCAAGGATCTGGTGGCTCGGCAGACTTTAACCCCCCCCCCCCCTCGTCTTGTAAGGACCTGGGCTCAGGTTCTTTTCGTCCAGGGGTCTGTTCGCGCTTGATCTTTTCAGGTGCCTATGCCTGCCTAATGCTTTTTCCTTGGTGGGTACAAAGAGCGTGTTCGTTGCTTCAAGGTTCACCAGGCTTTTCTGTACAGGGTTTCTGGGCGGAAATATCAGCACAATTTCCGCCTTCCCGCCCGGGGAAGGCGCAATGGGCTGTTTGATCGGCTTTGCTGTTTGATCGTTTGATCCCACCTGTGGCCTCGACTTGAGCGAAGACACGATGAATCGAGTCATTCCCGAAAGGTTAGAACCAAAGGGCCTTCAAACATCCGTAAAGCACGGCAAGGGACATTGGTGTTGTTTGGTTTAAGACATTAGGATACGAAGAAGACACATCGGCAGACAAGGGTATGTAAAATTGGGCAGCAGAACAGTTCAACTCTTGCAAGAACCATTCGAAAGCAAATCTCGCGCTGGCAGCGCTTGTCACATGCGCATGCCAATGAACGTCCTAGGCACAGAGAGCAGCCCGTGCCTGCTTGCTTGTGAAGGTGAGGAGGACTTCATCAAAAAGTGGTCCAAGTCCACCAAAGGAAGACATCGCAACGTGTGCTTCGATGTGCACTGCTACCACTGTGCCTCGACTGACACAAGAAGTCTTCCTGTGCGAACGGCAGCCTTACTCATTCCAAGGTTTCGAGAACCAGTTCCATGGCAAGACTTTTGCGGAGCAGCTTCGAGCCGTGGAGGCGCGAGCGGTCTGTCAGATGCAAAGGGGAAAATGTTAAGCGGCGTCCACGGCGTCCACGCGCTCCACGGAGGCCAACATCGAAATGTTCAAGCAGCACCCCATGGTGGCAGGCCGGGCCGGCCGGAAAAGAGCGAAAGGCGCCAACAAAAGGGAGTCTGCTAGCAGCTGCGAGGGGAGTGGTCCCTCAGCCTTGGCCAAGCCACCTGGTGCACCTGTGGCGATTTGGATGAGGCCGGATGTTTCAAGGTCAGCTTTGGTACAATTTCGTGCTCTTGTGGTTCGGTTTTGCCGGCACGGTCGTCTCAATGTTGGCACAAGTTCAATGCCAGCGGTTCCCACAAGTCAGAAGTATAAGTCATGAGCAGAAGAGCAGACCGTAACGTGGTGGCTGAACATGCCGGCAAGCTGGGGGACAACCAATTGGCACAGTCAATGACCAGCAAAGCGCTGTGACAGCATCTGCAATCACCCAGCGAGGTCGGAATGAGGCGATTATGATTTTGTTCTAAAAATTGGCAGTATATGTAAACCGCACCGCAAGCATGGACTTCTCGGTGCTGCAGTGGAGGTAGCCAGTGCAAACAAATAATGTTGTGACATCATTGCATTCTTTCGAATCGAGATGCAGACAAGTTCCTCTCCGACTGTGCATCTGCCCCAATCAGCAATCAACGCTGCCTAGGCTCATGGATTGCAGTCCAACTTGATCGTGTTGAACACGGACGGCTGTGTTGGCTTTGCTTTGGTCCTGAGGACAGCGTCCTGAGCATCTTCGGTGCTCAACAACAGGAGGCCTTCAAGCCCCTTGGAATGCAACGCTTCAAGCTGGGAGAAGTTTCGAAGGCTGTGGGATGCTGAGGAGCGCCTCTCACGGTTCCTTCTTCTGGAACTGGAAGGAGGATCCTGACAGCAAGGCGCGAGAGTGAGCGAGAGAGAGACGTCGGGAAGAACCCCGCAGCGAAGGCGTTGCTTATTTTACCACGGTGATGCTTCGAGTTATCTTCGGGAGTCAATGCCTTGGTTGGTCTGCGTGGCAGAAACTCTTGGCACCCGCAACCGTCGGGGGCGCACAAGCGCGCGGTGGGGGGCAACAACCCTCCACCATAGCCCTCGCGAAAGAAAGAGAGAGCGAGAAGTTTCATGCCAGAGGGGCGGGGAGACGAGGCCTGGGCGGTCAATAGTTTACAGGGTCTGGGGCTTACAACATAAACCTGGGGCAAACTTCGTCCCTTTCTGCAGCGGTCATAGATGACCCCAAAGCCGACCACTCAATAGTAAAAAGAGTGGTCGGGCGGGCCGATGGCCTGAGGGTCCCTCGCGGACCCCTACGCCCGGCAGAAAGAAAGAAAGAAGTTTCATGCTCCCTCGCAAAGGCCCTTCCTAAACCGCCTCGATCAAAGATGCCTTTGGATGTGGGTTCATTGAGATCCAAATAGCCCAAGCCTGCGAGTTGATGCCCCCTTGGGGCTCCGATTTGCAGGAGTGGCACTTCCAGCACTCCTGCGACTCGGGGCTTCTTTCCCGGCCTCCATTGTCGCTGCCCCCGTGGGATCGCCAGGGTGAGGACCCTTTGGAGGAGAGGCCAAGAACTGGCATTCTGAGGGACAGTTTAGGGTTCAGGAGGTCGTTCTCGTGGAAGAGGGGCTTTTCTTTCTTGGCGGAGTTGGCGGGCGGCCTGCTTCGGCTTCCTCGATTCAACACTTGGCTAGGAGCTGCTCCATCCCTCCCCGGAAGACCCCGTCGTCTACTATGGCTCCTTGGCAGGAACTGAACCTGTTGCTGTTGGGCTTGACGGATAGCTGCTGCATGAACTATTGCAGTCTCTCAGGTGACACCGTTTACCTTCGTGTGTTCCATGGTCGGTACATCGAGGTGCAAGGAAAGACTGCCAGAGCCCCAGAAACCCGTTTCTTCTCGGCAGCGAGACTGCGGCGCTTTCTCCCTCCTTTCTGACGCGCCTGTGACCTCCCCACTCAGAAACTTTTGCACGGCAAGCATCTTCTGGACGGTCCTCTCAGGTGGATTGCAATTGGCCAGACAAAGGAATGTGGCAGGCTGTTGCAGCCAACCTCGAAGATCTGGGCGAGAAATTGCGAGCATCGTCATCCTCGTAAGACATCTGGAGTCGGTCTCCGTCCCTGCTGGTTTTACCAGGTTTGCAAAAAGCAGCTGGTAAGTCGGAGTACGGAAACCTAAAGCCTCGAAGGGCCGAGCATAGGCCAAAGCCAGAGCTCCGTTCAGAGGAAGAACATATTATGCTACGGAGCTCGGCGGCAGGCCTTCTCCTTCTGCGCACCTGATGGGGACGCTGCAAAGGACCGAATGTGCGGAGCCAGATTCCAGAGAACGTGTTCTTGGGCCCTTCTCCAGGAGCAGGGAAGCAGGCCAGGCTTGTGTCGAATCGCCTCCGCCCAGTGGACCCAGAGCTCACAATCTTGCAGTCTGGCCTGGCAGAGCATAACAGTAGCTTTGGGCAGGCGTCCCGTGCGACATCGTGACATGCTGCGGATCCGAGCTCACAGCGGTAGCTTTCTGGCCGTACCCAGTGCCTCAGATGTATTGGCCATCTTGGCTTTGTGCTCTGCGCTGGTCCCGCTGTTGCCTTCTGCTGCAGTTGATGTGAGATGTTTGCACAATGGCAGCTGGAGGCAACGCTGCCACTGGCGCGCCCGTGCGAATCCCAGCATTGAATATCCGGGAACGTGGGACGCTGAATGCTGGAAGCAGCTGCGTGCGCTGCGCCCTACCTTTGTCGAGGTGACGACCACACGCAGCAAAACATGCGCAGAAGCCGAGTTGGAGGCCGGGAAAGAGCATCGCGGAAGCCTCCGAGTTGCGCCAAATGAATGTGAGACTCGGAAGGTGTTTCTCCAGCACACCAGTGTCTTGAAGCATCGCGGGCTTGCGCGCTGAGCCCAGAACTTGCAGAGTATGGCTTCCAGACTCGTCTCGACTCCAGAAGCATCGGGCACATGCTGTCAGGCAGGAGATTGAGAAGCCAGATCTAATTCGCTTGGCCTCTTTGCGGCTTATGCTCAGATACTTCTTCAGCCGCGCGACTGCCACCACTCTCGACGCAGACGAGGACGAGTCGGGCATCCGCGCTCGCTGGGCGGATTTCGGAGATTGGCAGGCGGAACGGCAGAAGTGGAGCGGAAGTGGACTGAAGACTGAACTGATGAGGGGTGTGGAGGGGCTAACGATGCTAACGACAGAGGCCTTTGCAGTTGAGCGACCTCCGGAGCTGCAGCGCCATGTGGCCTTGGGAAGAACGAAAGAACCGCCACGTCAAAGACAGCGAGGCACCGGGGCCGTCGTCGTCGCTCGTCGTCGCTCGTATTTTCTACGGCCTACGGGCCATGGCAGGTCGACGTGGATCAAAGGACAGCCAGCTTCTCAGATGTGCGTTGCGGCTTTTCACAGACCCTTGCACCCTAACTGCGTCCGAGCGGCCAGGTCCCGTTAAGGCAGCAGCGGAACGTCCGTCGCCGGGCGCTGTGAAGCGCAAAGCTCTTGAATTGGAGAGCGCAGCATAGCACAGTCACGGCTCCTCAGCCTCAAGTGCCTCAGTCTTGATACTAATGCTCATGCTCCGAATCAAAGTTTTTTTTCCAAAAAGCGTCCGAGAACGTGCATGCGCTCAGAAGAAACACGCTCGAGTCTTAGGGCTTCGAAGTGGATGGGCTGGTCCATGCGTGTAGGAAGCTTGAGCATGACATGATGTGACATGCTCAGGGGGCACTCGATAGACCAGCCCCTCTTGTAGTGACTGTAGTTTGTGAATGGATCATGACAAAGACTGCATGACTTAGCAGGGATTGCTCTGGAAGCGAACTTTGCTCCAGATGTTTGCTCCTACGTCTTCGATGTCTTCAATCCTGCTTGGTTTGTTGCCTGTAGACGTGAGAGAGGACCTTCCAGTACAGGTGTGGCCATCTGCTTTAGTGCCTGTTTTTGCTTCGGCTGCTTTGTGACTCTCTGGAGGCTGCCTTTGAAAACCTCTTCCAGTGTTATGCTTCCTGTCTCACAGAGCTCGCCAATGTAGATGTAAATTGCAGAAATGCTGGCAGCAATGTGACGGCTGCTACTGCCTGCAGCAAGCAGGGGGGAACTGTTTGCTGCCCGGGTTTGTCTCCGCTCGCACTGGCTTTCAAGGAAGGGCTGTGCAAGGGCAAGGGGCTGCTCTGATCATTAAGGCATTGTAAGGAGCCATCCCTTGCTTACAGTCAGTCTTCCAACACCTGCAAGCGGGCTGGGTTCACATCTAGGATCTGCGACCTCTGCAAGTCCGGATGTTTCATGCTGGAGGATGTTCGAAGCAGGAGCGCCTCCATGCAAAAGAGGTGAGCAGACTGAGTGCCTGGGCTACCGCCGTTCCAACCCAAGGCTTTGCAAGGACGAGGCATGCAGATGGAAACCCTCGTGTTTCGCAGGTGACTTTCTCGGCAGTTTTGCTCAAGGGACGTTGGGGGGGCAGTTGCACACAAGTTTGTTGACAAGCCGCGTCCTCAGCTTTTGCAGCTGCGGAGGGTGTTGTGTTTTATCAGGAGCAGGTCTGCTCAGCACGTGTCACACCATGCTGAGTCTGCCCAGCTGTGCAGGATGCTGCCTGCAGTCACCAGGCTCGTCGCTGGCGTGGCGCCACGCGCCTCTGGACACCCCCCGACAGAACGATCGCATGGGAATGTATTTTTTGTGATGCACTGCTATCAAGAGGCTTTTCTCATGGCAAGCTTCTATGAAGGAGGTGTTCTCAGAGCTCAAGCACTGCGACCCTTGCTTCATTCGAAGCACAGGCTTCCTGCCCCTCTGTCTGGAACTCTTCAATTCTTACATTGCCTATGTATAGGTGCTTCTCCATGCCCAGCATGGCCAAGGTGGTCCTTGCCTGAGACACTCTGAGAAGAAGAGATGTTGACAGGGAGGGCGACGTTTGTCGTGGCATTTGTGGGCTCGAACTTTGAGCTCACGAAAAGGGACACGAGTAGGCTTCTCTCTGCCTCACTCTGAGGCCAAAGACCTGCAAGCTGAGATCAGTCACGAGCAGGTTCCGACTGGTTGGCACATATTGTTTTCTGCCGAAAACCGGTGTTGCCTCACTCAATCCTAAATTCTAACTCCCCAGTACTCACTGTCTACATTACCCTCCACTCACCTCGTAGTAATCGAAGTTCTACCAGCCCGGCAAAAACCGCCAGGAACAGTATCAGCAGGCGAAGGCTGGTCCAGCTGCTTCTGCACCGGCCTGGAAAGCACGGTCTCGAGTGGACGGGCGTCGAGGAGATTCAGAAGTTCCTGAAAAGCACGGACTTCAAGCTTGTTGAGACCGAGGCTGGGCCTTCTTGTTCGAGTGTCGATCTGCACCATTGCGGTTCGCGCTGTGTGCATTCAGCCAAAGCTGTCCTAACTATATTCTCGCTTGGACTGCCTCTGCGTCTACATACCTATGCCTGGCTCTTTCTGTGGCTTCTTCTTTCGCTTCTCGACGTAAGCGACGGGACTGGATGGGTCAGGGAGATGTCAACATGCAGCTGGAGCGGACAGTCGGCGACAAGCAGGCCTCACGCTTTATCATGCTTTATCCGCAATTTCGGGACCTTCCATTTGGCGTTGATGTGGGATCCACAGTTGTTTTCGACATGGGCTGCTAGCGCAGCGGCGATGCCACAGCTGAAAAGAGCTGAGTACCTTCATGTTTGGAAAGCATCCTCCACGAAGTCCTACAACTCCCACAGCCCTTGAGGACGGCAGACTCAGTTGTGTCATCATGCTTCACTTCTCATTGAGTCCCAGCTTCGTCCTTGTTCGTAGTACAAGAAACATAGCTGCAGCAAGAAGACCACTGGGTCATGACGGTCTCAAACGGCCACTCTAGATTCTGACAAAAGATTCCGTCGTGGCCAAGGTGACAATCGAGTGGCAGCTCACGAGCCCCTTCGATCCCACTGCGGATGTGGAAGGTGGGGATCAGGATGCTGGTGCGGAGTATGTGTCAGCCTCAGCCTCCAAGCCCTCAGCATGATTTCAACGGTGTGCAAGTGCACCTTTTATGCATGGAGCTGACGTCTTGCCGCCCGTACTATGCCCGACTTGGATTCTGCCAAATTTACTAGCCCTCCGCTTAAACTTGCAGAAGCAGCTTCTCGTAGACCATAACTGTGAGAACCACGGCCTTGAAGGCCATTGGTATTGGGCAGTCCTGAAGCATTCTGCCGAGACAGCCTGTGGGCCCTAAACTCCAAGCGACCACCTGATTAGGAAGCTACCGACTTCTGTATCACCCTGGAGAGCAAGTCCAGCGGCTTTGCTCAAAAAGCATGGTTGTTCCGGATGCCTTGGAGTGTGATAATATGACATTGATGCCATTGCTTCACAGCCAGGGTGGCCCTTTATGGTGCAGCGTCGCCCGACGGGCCCGCACTTTTTTTGTTTCCTACCGTTGGCGGTCCCCGGCG